AAGAGGCTGCTATTTCTCCATCGTATATTTTTAGCTCCTTTGTCAAAGATAAGTTGCTTATAGTTGTGTGGCTTCATATCTGGATCCTCTATTCTGTTTAGTAGGCTGTGTTTGTAGAATAACATGTGCTCTTCTGATCTGCAGACTGAAGTCTTCTTTGACCTTTGTGTATTTTATTCTTGCTTCTATCTTTTCATCTTTCTTCTGCTGGGACTGCTGTTCATCTTATTAGATCTGTCTTCCAAGTCGCTTATCTTTTCTATCATTGTTTCTGTTTTGCTGTTTTAAGTTGTTTTCATATTTGATTTTCCAGATCACAAATTTGTATCTCCACCATGATCCATTCTTTCCTTAAGTTAAGCTGCTCCATGGTTTATTTGGAGAATCATGTTTGTAGATGCATGAAGGCTTAACTCTGCTGTGATTAAATCTCCCTCACTTCCCTTGTTACTTTTCTGACCCAGATTGCCTCCCTCTCTTCTAGCAGTACTGTTTGGTTTGGGTTTACTTCCTGTGTCCTGACTGATCACTATCTTTCTGGATGCCCCACTTCCCTACATGAGCTCTTTATGACCCTGCTCTGCTCTTTGCCTCTAATGATTTCAGGGCACATAGATATGCTACCCCTGTTCCCCATTATAGGATCATCAAATCTCTGTCCACCAGGTTTTTCCTAGAACCATTTATTTATAGTCCCTATTCCAGGGTTCTAAAACACTGGTTTCCATATACTTGCCCAGATCTCAGACAATCCAACACATACACACATACACACACACACACACACACACACTCTCTCTCTCTCTCTCTCTGTCTCTGTCTCTCTCTCTCTCTTTCTCTCTTTCTCTGTCTCACACTCTTCAGTTCCCTTCTCTCTCTTCCAAAGAATCCTTCTCTGTATTTCACTTCCATTTAGCGGTTTGCAGGTCCCAGGCTTCTATGATCTAGCTATCACAGGACGATTATAAAGGGTAGGGGAGATAAAGGGAGGTGAGCTCATGCTGTCATCCTCTGGAATCTTTTGAAGCTTTTGCCTATAATATCAGAAGTAAGGAACAAAGCGGTGATCACAGAAGTTAGTTATCACTCTCAACTGTTCTCTTCTTTCCCTGTGAGAAAGTTGATAATCTTTTGTTCTTGTTGGGCATGATTTGTAGTGCTTGCCTGTCCCATAGTCCTCTTTGGTGTTACGACTTCTTCTGGGTGATGGAATGTGAGTAGAAGTGATACTGTGCCCATCCTGAACAGAAGCTTTAAGAGATCTAATGAATTTTTGTTAGCCTACTTGATTCTGTCTTTTGCCTTGAGGATGGCATGTTGCAGAAACTGTCAGTTCCTCCTGGGAAGGTCCTGGAGTGCAAAAACAAATGGAGCAAAAGCCACAGCCCTCAGGGTGCCCACAGCCAGCCTATAATGTGACGAGGAATAGAAGTTTGGAGTGTTCCACTGAGATTGGAGGGCCCCTTTGTGATTGCAGCAAAGCTGACTGAGCAAATCCAGTTTAGTTTTGTTGCTCCTTTTATTAGCTAAGCATCTGACTTTACCATCTTTTTCTGTCTCCTAATTTAATCTCTTAATTGGCTAATATGAGTGAACAACTGTTGAAAGTAGAGGCAAACATTGATTACCCTGGTAACTTTTTGACCAGGCTGGTCTTGAACCATGATCCTCCCAATCGTCACCTGTTGAGCGGCTGGAGTTTCAGGCATAAGACCGCACCTGACCCTTACAGTGAAATTTGCTTTTAGGACTTCAGAAGTGTGGTGAACTACAGACTATTTGATATTGCCATTATCTTCTTTTACAACAGTGTCATAACTACCACAGTAATGTGTGAATTGATTTGCTAGGAGCTACTTCCACCTCCATGAAATTACTATGATGATTCTGTAGAATGGAGAGACAGAAAGATCTAATCATTATCTTTGTGTATAACATTTAAGTGCCTCTTGAGTCTTGTGTGCTGGGCAGTCACCTTGATATCCCTGCCCTTGAGATCCTGAAGGTTTGCCTGAGCACCAGACGGCTAACTCTTAACCTCCTTTTCTTTGTTAGGTTTGTTTGCTCTTCTGTCCATATGCTGCTTGCTTTGGAAAGACGCTTTCAGAATTTTAGTATGTCTTATTAAAAAAAGAGTTCACTGTCAGTTATCTACCCTCTTAGTTTTTCCTTTTTTCATTAGCTACATTCTTTTCTGTATGTGAAGTACACATAGATGGACTATAGTTGTTAAACACTGGAAAGATATTTACTGTTAAAATTCTCTGGTGGTATTCAAACTCAGTTTGAATGGTTCTCACTTGTACTCTTTTTTTTTTTTTTTAAAGAGTAACGGTCACTTGGGCAAGGTGTTCTTAAGTCTCACCTTCACTTACCTTGGCTACCACTGAGGTTGAATGGGAAAAATGGCACAGGGTTTTCAATGGAAGAGTAACTTTGTTAGCTGCAGGATACTAGGATGGAAAACCTTGAAGCAAGCATAGCAGTTTGGAAACTATCATGCAACAGAAGGGAGATTCCCTTTGAGCCACTTGTAGCATCTCTTGAAAGTAGGTTGGGCTAGCCCTTGCATCTACATCTGTATCCATGGCAACCCCCTCCCTCCCACTTTCATGCTATTTTTCAAAGCCCTTGTAACTTGAAGTGTTGCTCACTGTTTCCTTGATTTTCAAAAATCTCACTCCTGGAGAGGTTTGGGTCATTTCTGCCAAAGGTGATAGCATTCACAGCTTTTAAAGTGCACTTTTTTTGTTCTTCAGGTTTCCTAGGTCACTTGGTGGCATTGTGTTTATTGCAGATCACAGTCAAGGCTTATTTATCTTAAAAATGTATTGATATTCTGATGTGATTGTTCCATTGAAAAATAGAATTTTAGAGGTACATGATACCTTAGAGATCAGCTTTATTATAAATCACCTCACTGTTTATAAAAGGACCATGAAGTTACAGACATACATTTTAAGATCACAGAGGTAGGAGAATAGATTGGCTTCCAGATGATTCCAGTCCAGTACTAGATGGGAGTGCTCATATGCAATTTTGTAAATTGTTTCTGTCATTAGTGATGCCTAACACTTCCTCCCATTTGGCACACCTAGTTTCACTTTCTCTCCTTCATCTGGGGTTCTCATGCTTACTCTGCTAGTAGAGTTGTGGCTATGTTTATGCTAAATGGGATCCATGCTGAATTTTAGCAGATTCCCCCCAGCTACATCTGTATGTTTGATGGTATCTGGGTTTATTGCCTCTCACTTATTAGTGCCCTGGGTCTTAACAGCCTTATTCAAACAAAACATCTTAGATGTAGGCATGAAACAGGTCACAACAGTGAGCCATTTTGTAAAGTTTGGTGCAATAAAATGGGTATGTTGTGTTTTGGAATATAAGACCTCTGAGTGCAGCTATTCATTTTCTTCATCTATAAAACATTT